CAATTTTATACAAATTGTTCAGTTTTGTATAAATTTATTTATACGTTGTAATTTGTATAATAAGATCTGTATTTGTATAATTATAAGTGTATAGGACAAAAAATATATGTATTTGTATTTGTATATACATTTTTCTCTCGCTTTATACAAACACAAACACATTTTATACATTTTATACCGAAATGTATAAAATGGCTAATTGTATACCAAATCAGATGGTAAAAAAAGGGGATGTTTGCTGCGAATTACAATTAAAATAAACTATGGTTATAGCATTTAATTTAAATTAATATATAGTTTGTTATTTCATACAATTTTCCCTATTTTTAATACTCTATTTTTTATTTTTTATTTTTTTTTAATTAATTTTTATTTGGCTCACGGGCCAGCCCTATCCATATTTCTCAAGCCTCACAAATCGACAGGCTTATTCAGGCCGGATTAAAAAAACCCTTTTCTTAAATAGGCTCCAAAAATCGTAACCCAACCCTATAAAATAATGGGTTAGGCCAGACCGGCCCAATGGGCCTAGCCCATATTGACAGCTCTATGTATCATAATACATAGCTTTTGAGTGTTTATTTATGTAATTGTTCTTATTGACAAGAATTTCAGCACAAATGGGTGCTGGATACCAACCTCATTGTTCTATATTTTTTTATTGTTGTAGCAAAAATATTTGTTTACAATGTAGAATGTTAAATAAATACGTAAAAAATAATTACGTTTCCTAACACATAGATTTTATCTGAGAAGGATTTTCAAAATTGAATATTCAAAAATGGAGTTTCATCAAAATTATTTTAGAAATCATTTTTTATATACCGTACCTGCTACTACAAATGATTAGAAAGGTGAAAATTTGATGAATTTTGGGATAGTGGAAGACAAAAAAAAATGACGACAATGAATGATCTCAGTTGTAACAGAGGAGTAAATGACGAAAAATGATGAATATGATGATGGTGGAGTAGATGAATGGTGGAAGGAAGAAAGAGTCAAGAAAATGAAGAAAAAAAATTCACCAAAAAAAAGTTCGCCACATGCTTGGAGTAAGTGCAACACACACCATGTGTCAAGTCAGCAGAAGGTGTCAACATGACACAACGAAGCATGATATGAAGTGTTTAAAATGAACAAAGCATATATAGTTAAGGTGTCTAAGAGAATTGGTGTCAATTTTAGGTGATCACCAATAGGTTTAGACAAGGAAAAGGCTACATAATTAGATACACATCCATATCATATCTACTAATTCATACTTTTTAAATAATTATCTATTACTTCACTATTTGATAATTGTATACCAAATTTGGAGTCAGATAAAGTGAGATACATCATTCCTTAAAAATAACATATAATCTTATTGTAGCGACCTGAACTGTCATTACTCAAACGTACCTCATGCGGAACTCAATATTCTTGAAAATTCATTGCCAATTTAAAAATTGGGTACACGAAGATTGTGATAAAACTTTGAATTAACCCGAGCTAATGTCAATCCGCCATAGCGGGACGCTTCCCACTATGGCGATGCCGCTATAGTATGGCTGGCGGAATCAAACCCTAAAAAATTCGATGTCTTTTATTTTTCCTCCCACTTTTAATTTCATGAAGAAAACAGACGAGGGTTGCTCCAAAAATTCTCCTAAGCCGCCCTTAGCTTGGGAACCATGGAGGAAAGAGATTTCAGCGCAAAGAGGGTTAAAATCCAGGAGTTTCCGGTCCATGTTCATTAGGATTCGCTTCCACAAAATTAAAAGTTTGTGTTCCTCCAAGTTCTTCCGCAGTTTTTTGACGTCCAGGTAGGCTAAGTTTTCTTTATTGATTAGTTTAACTTATTTTTACTTACTTTATATCATGTGGTAGTCGGAGATTGCTTGTATAGGCCTTTAGACACAGAGTCTGGACGATTGAATATGTGGTTAGTTGTGGTTTAGGTTGATGATGGATTGACGGACTATGGTTGACTGTATGGTATGGATGGGTGTTATCTTGGGGAAGGAAATCGTGGTGATTGGATTATGCTTAGAAAATATTCGAAAGAAAATCCTTGAGGTAGGTGATGGTTGTTTGTTTTTCCAAGTTTATGTGATGGGCGCTTGTTAATTGTTATATAGTATTACTTGTGTAATGCATATGGAAAAAATATAAGGGATGAATGTAAAATGACATCAAGTTGATAATCTCATGCAATGAATCTATTAATTTACTTGTGGCTTCAAGTGTGGTTGTTCATTTCGATTGTGATTGCTTATGTTGTTTGTGATTGCTCATTGACTTGGGTACCATGTCGGTACATAATACATATGGTTGGTTCGAATACCATGCCTGGCATGTACGAAAAATAATTTGATCAAATACCAAGCTGGTAAACTAACAGTTTGAGTGTGAGTTTCATGAGAGAATCAAATTTACTTTTTTGTGGCATGATTATCACATGTTGGTCCCTGAATAGCCAGATTGTTTTGTTTAATATTGGGACGATTTTCATATAGACCAAGATTGCATGTTAAACACCATGGACTAGTTTAGAGAATCTTTGTGTGTTACTTAAGCGGTGAGTTGGACTCAAGTAAGAATTTTTGTATGATTATGTGGGGCATGTTTCATGTGCTTTGTTAGGTCAGGTTGATAACTGGAAGTCTTTGTCCTTAGTTGATTTAGTCAACCATGTCTATCTGTTAAGTGGTTTAGAATAGATCTGATCAAAAGTAGTCTTGGAAAGTTTTAGAGTGGCAAGAGGGTTGAATGCTAAATGGTAGAGTTAGAAGCGGAATAAGGTAGCGAGTTAAGATCAAAGTGTACTAGTTAATGAGCATTATACCTGGAATAGTAAAAACATATAGGCAAGGAATTGGGTGGGGTAAATTTTGTAATACATGTTTTTTTTTGAATGTCTACTTTATATTATGTGGTGGATTCGAGTCAATCGATAATGCCTACTAGTACATGTTGTTTGTACTGATACTATTCTTGTTATGTCACTTGACATAGTCTGATTGTAGGATCAATGATGTTTCTTAAGGGAAAAAGATAATGATATCTGACAACTTCTACTTTTTCTTTCCTCTTGGTGGAAGTTGTCTTATTTTCGTATAGTATACTCTCTTAGTAATTCTTGTACCTGTTTAGACTAATTTCTTGAAAAGATTTTTCGGTAAAATGTAATTAAAGTTACTTCTTATATTTGATGTTTTCATGATTATATCAAATTATTAAAAAGATTTCTTATGTTTTATTAATTTTAGTATTGTCAAGTTTTAAATGGGGTGGTAAGGATTATCCTATTTAGATGTTAGAGTATGTGTCTGCACGGTCCGATGACTTGGACCGTGTCAATTTAATATCAGAGACCAATTTATCGATCTCCCAGTACAAGAGCAAATGTTGAATAGAAGCCTGAGGATTGGTGTGTTGACTTCCACATTAATTATAAAGGGGCTATGAAACATTATAGAAAATCATCTCACTTCTTCACTCCTTTCATGTGATCTGTCGCTTATGGTATGGATTGAATCCAATTGATATCTCGACGAAGTAACTAGATGTCGTTGTCATGGCTTAAGGGACAGACAAGAAAATATTGAAACCAAAAAGGTTCCAATTGATATCTGACCTTATGGGTCATGTGAATGCATGGATGGTCATTTAGTGATTAACCATAATGCGAATAGAATGTAACAAATTCGAGCAATTTCGTCCTAGAACTTGATGAATGTTGTTATGTGTATGACAATCACCTGGATGATTAAAATTGGGTGAAATACAATTATTTGACTTTATGTGAGATTATGGACAAGAAAAAAACGTAACTTGATTATGTGTGATATTTTAATAATAATTTTTTACGATTAATAGGTGCTCCACCCTCAAAAGATTGCCTAATGTGCAAACAATCTTTTTTTAAGAGTATTGCTATTTTCTTCATTGTATTTAGAGCATTATTTTAGATAAAATTCGTACAGCGAAAATTCAAGGTTAAAAACTTTAGTGCAAGGTAAAAATTTATTAGGTGAATTTCATCTGTTCAAATTTTGATGGATAGATTTATTATCAATATCGATACTGGTGGAAAATAGCAATTACTCTATCGAATTGTAGTTGAAGTGTACCCAAATTGGCTCAAAAGACATATTATAAGAAAAAAAGACAAATTTAAGGTTAATCTCTTTTTTCATCAAGACTTCAGAAAAAAATTAAAATCATGAAACATTTTCTTTTGTTTTACTTCTCTTACAATAACCTTTTTTTTTGTTGTATAAAAGGACTTAAAGGACTCAAATATAAGGATAGCTAAGAAATCCCTGAAAAATAACATTGGAGATTAATAGTCCTTACTTTATATTTGAGAAATTAAAGACCATGCATTAACATGAATAAATGGAAGTAATAGTCATTCAGCTCAGAATGTTTACCAATATTGATTATTTTATGCTGCTATAATATTTAAAATGGATAAGTACTTACCATTTCATCACTATCTTTGATGGTATAATTTGATTCTTTTGTTAAATGTTATATTTCAACTTTACTATATATGATGATTCAAACATTTTCTTAGAGAAAACTTTAAGCCACAAGTAGATGTAGACCACTTTTTTTTATTGTGCATAGTTATTATAATTCACTTTCTAAATATACGAAAAAGGTCATTTAACTTGAGTTGATTTATTTTTGACAACAAGTGAATTTGAACTTATTTCTTTTGAAAAGTGCATTAGTTAATATAGTATGTAGAACAGAAAAAGTATAAAACATGTCCAAAATGTAGCATATAGTTAAAAGTAAAGTGAACATATTTTGTGGAATTAGAACATCCATGATCATCCAAATACAAGAAAGTGCAGTGATAAAAAAGGAAGATGAAAGCTAAGAACAATAAACTTTCTTTAATTTTGCATGATTAAATGTGGATGTGTACATATTTCTTTGAACTAATAATATTTTGTTAAGATAAATAAGAGAAATAATAGTGATGCATCCCTCTTAATAACCAGGGAAAATTGGTGGAGGTGGTGAGGCATAAATTGAGCCCAAGTTAGGAGGAAGGACAACGTCCTCGAACACAGGTGGAGGGGGAGATGCCAAATGAGCAGGAGGTGGTGATTGAACAGGTTTGGGTGGAGGAGGAGAAAAGACTGGAGGGGGTGGAGGAGATGACATTGGTGGTGGTGGGGAATGAACTGGAGGTGGCATTGGTTTTGGACTTGGCACTGGAGGTGGAGGTGATGATACTGGTGGTGGTGGGGAATGAACTGGAGGTGGCATTGGTTTTGGACTTGGCACTGGAGGTGGAGGTGATGAAGTCGGTGGTGGTGGGGAGTGGACTGGAGGTGGAGGTGATGATACTGGTGGTGGTGGGGAATGGACTGGAGGTGGAGGTGATGAAGTCGGTGGTGGTGGGGAGTGGACTGGAGGTGGCATTGGTGTTGGACTTGGCACTGGAGGTGGGGGTGATGATACTGGGGGTGGTGGGGAATGGACAGGAGGTGGGGGTGATGAAGTTGGTGGTGGTGGGGAATGGACGGGAGGTGGCATTGGTTTTGGGCTTGGCACTGGAGGTGGAGGTGATGACACCGGTGGTGGTGGAGAGTGGACGGGAGGTGACATTGGTTTGGGACTTGGCACGGGTGGTGGTGGAGAGTGGACGGGAGGTGGCATTGGTTTGGGACTTGGCACGGGAGGTGGTGGAGAGTGGACGGGAGGTGGCATTGGTTTGGGACTTGGCACGGGAGGTGGTGGAGAGTGGACGGGAGGTGGCATTGGTTTGGGACTTGGCAGGATTGAACTGGAGGTGGCATTGGTTTGGGACTTGGCACTGTTGGCGGAGGTGATGCCACGGGTGTTGGTGGGGACTGAACTGGTGGTGACTTTGGTTTTGGACTTGGTACGGGTTTGGGTGGGTTAGTCTTTGGTGGTTTAGGGGTAGAAGGGGTTTTCGGGTCCTTTGGGGCTGGTCCTTCACTGTTAGATCTACATTTATCTTTACTACAATCTACAATTTTGCTTAAAACAGATTGACAATCTTTCTCATTTCTCTGATCTGGTTTTCCATTTAGACAATTTTCCTTATCATCTAACACTGGATTTCTTGGAAGTGGTGGTGCACAACCTTCATCCAATTCATCAAAATAATTGTAAGAGAATGTAAAATTAGCCAAATTTGGTAAGGTGCAAATAGCCTTTGGAATTTCTCCTCTAAACATGTTTGATGCAATATCAAGTACTTCCACTTTTTGCATCAACTCCAAACCTCGAGGCAAGGATCCTACAAATTTATTTTTGCTAATGTCAAACACCGTTAAGCTCTTGAGCTTAGAGACCTCTTCAGTCACACAACCAGATAGATCGTTATTTGTGAAAACAAGCTCATCTAATGTGTTCTCCATTTTACCAATACTATGAGGAATGCAACCGTGGAACTTATTGTTAGCCAAAACCACCACCGAGGCATTAGAATTTCCAATATTTGGAGGTATAGTGGAAACAAATCGGTTATTGTTTAAGAAGATGGCATCAAGACTCTTGTCGAATAGTTCAGAAGGCACTGACCCTTCAAAATCATTAAACCTAAGATCAAGGAAGTTAAGTTTTGGCAACTCCAACACAATCTTAGGAAATGGCCCCACAAAACGGTTATTACTAAAATCAATCTCGTCTAAAAGTTTAAGATTGTTAATACTCTTAGGGATGATCCCACAAAATCTATTAGAATTGATATGAACAAGACTAACATCAGCTAGGAAACCAATCTCCACAGGAAGATGCCCCGCGATGTCTGCATTATTAAGATCAATCCCAGCAACAACATTGATGTTAGGATCATCAAGTGCTTTGTCACAAAAGACACCATTATATGCACAAACATCAGCACCCTCCCAATTACTAGTGAATTTTGAAGGATCCGAGTAAATCGCTTTCTTCCATGCCTGAAGAGCAATGTAAGCCCTCTTAAGCCTATGATTTTCAAATTTCAAGTCAATATTCTTCTCATATTCAACTATATTAGGAAGATCACCAGTACCAGAAATGAGTTGTCGACGCGCAATGAAAGCTGCTTCATCATTAGTTAATGCATAAGAAAATGATAGAAAATTGAGAAGAACAAGAAGAAAAAAGCAACCTAAGGCCTTTATGTTTGGAGGAATAGTCATTTTTTTTTTGTGAAGACCCCCTAAGTGAGACCCAAGACTGCTTATAGAATCTTGTTGACAAGGAAAATGGATGGTGTTATATGGAGGTAAAAGAAGGATGGTTCAAGGTTGAGAGTTTGTTGATGTTTTCTAAATTAACCTCACAAAATATTAGAGGGTCTAAATAATTCATACACAAACTTTGAGGAGAAACAATTGTTGATAACCATATTTTAACCTATTGAAAGGGGAAATCATCAATAATATATATAGTATGTTGTTATTCTTTACCATCTAAAACTAATGGACATTATATTTGTGATAATATTTTCTCATTTTATTCATCCCAACTTAGAAACGTTGACTTGACTGTCACTATATCGAAAATGATCAATTGAACAAACATTGGATCAAATAATAATTAACTAATGCTGTTAAATAATTTAACACTCTTTGTTAATGTGCATATTTAATTATTGCCGCTAAAACTATTTTTGTTATAGTGTGCATAATAGTTTGGCAATGCATTACTGTTTTAAGTCAATGTTTTTTTTTTCTTTTTGGTTCTCTTTTTCACCTCTAAGGGACTAGTTCGATTTATAATAAGCTTGAACATGATTGACAAATAAAAAATTATCTTTATGTAGTTGTTATTATTTTAAATACAAAGAAGATCATTTTAAAAAAAAGAAGAAGTAATAATTGACTTTGTACTTTAACATATATGTTAGTAAAGGGTAACAAATGGATGAAATTGATCACTTCAGTAAACTCATTACTGAAGATTTCACAAGTTTCCCCTAGAAACAAAGTGAAACATACTAAGTTGTGTTATACGTGGAGTGTATAAATTTTTCACACAAAGCATATTGTATTTGATTTTAATTTGTACGAAAATATGTACAATCAAGAGCGAATAAAGGAGGTTGTCAGGTGTTCATCCAAAATCTTCAAAAAAAAATTACACGGTATATATAGTTATATACCTTATATATATGGGCTGCATTATGATACCAAAACTATTTGTTGAAGTACATATAGTTCAACAAATATGAGAAAATAGAGTAGTATATATAACTATACTTTCTCTATTTATTTTATTTGACACGCTTTTTCTTTTAATCTATTTCAAAAAGTGACATTACTTCTGTATTTTGGAAATTGTATCTTAGTATATGTATTTTACTCTAAATATTTTACTCTTAATAATGACATGACTCGTTAATTGGGATCAATTTGATATATGTTATTTAAAGCTGATATAAAGTTTTGATGATTTAACAAATTTCTGGACTTAACAAGGGACCTGGTCGATGAAAGACTATGTACCTGAAAAAGATAAAAGACAGTTGTCTAAAAGCTGTCAAATCTGACGTGGTTGGTACACGACTTTTTAGAGTAGCAGACTCTCAACCAATGGCTTTGCTCCAAGGGCTTGTGTCCATATCATATTAGTCTCTTCTCCAAAACACAACTTAAATTTTGGCAAACAAAGTTTTGAATTCAGAAAATTCATAAGCTTAAAAAGAAAAAATCATCTTCAAGGAAGAACATTGCTCATACTCAACAAGGGACCGGATGGAGTGTTGAAGCATCTTTGTTGTATTTTGAGCTTTGTGTCGTGTGTTCTTATATTGCAAATCTACTCCTAAGTTATAAAGGATAGTAGATAATTGACTGCTTGTCTAAGTCTTTAGATTGAGTCGAATTAACTAGAGTTAGTTAGTCGAATCATCTATGTTTTAGTCAAGCCTCTTTACTGTTTTGATTTTCTCTTGGGTAGAGTTGCCTAGGAGTATCAACTAGAGTTAGTTGATGTGTGGGTGCAACATAGTTGTTGTTGTTTATGTTCCTATCTTTGAGATCTGTAGTTGGTGGCTAGAGTTAGCCTGGTTCTTTAAGTCTAGATCGACTAGAGTTAGTTGGTTTAGTGGAAAATAGAGTTATTGCTTAGTTCTTTTGCTTGTAGTAGAGTTGCTACATTAAAGGGGGAGGGATTAAAGAGTTTTAATTCCTAGGTTACAAGAGTTTGTAATCTGAAGTTTAGCTCCGATTTGCGTGAAATGGAGTTTGGTTGGAAATCCTGTGAGTATAGGTCGTGGTTTTCACCTCCCTTGAGCAATGGAGTTTCCACGTAAAAATCTCGTGTCGATTTACTTTGAGCTATTTATTTTATGCACTATTATTCTATCGAGAGACGTGGCCCAGTGATTACTAGTGGACGCATCCATTCTATCAATATAAAAGTTTTTTTTTTTTATATATAGGGAGTGTAAGAAGGGAAAATAAGAAAAGAATTACAAAATGAAGAATCAAACCATTAGCAACTAAGTGAAAGTTCAGATTGTCAACCAATGAAGCTACTGCAAATCTCCCAATATATAAGTTAAGGCCGACAAGAGTAGTATATTAGAAAAACTTATAACGGGCATAAAATGAATAATAAAGTTGTTCAATTTCAAACATTGATATAATTACATGGTAGGCATTCGTTATCATATTATATTACTATATATTAAAGAAGAAGCTAGAGACAATGCATGATACTACATGCATGATAACCCCTGACCCATACTATATTATATATTTTTGAAGGGACTTGATAGAGCTATATATAAGAGATGTACATGTCATGTTGTGTTTTGTTTCACTGATTTGGCCAAATCATAAGACTCTTCTACATTGATGGTTGCCAACACTTTAGGAAGTGGACGCTTCACCACAAATTTTGAAGGACAAACTTCTGTTGCAATAATAAGTAATCTACTACTAATAATTATCTTAGACATAATTATATACTATATCTTAACTAAGGAATAAGAATTGTAAGGAGAAATAAATAATATATACGAGTTGTAGTACAGAAGAACATAAAGTTTGATGAACTTATATATATAATAGTATTAAGGGTATGTATGTGAAACTGTAGTGTAACGTGTTCAATACGTACGTAGTGTAACGTGCCTCCTCCTTTTTGTATTAATTGCCTGAAAAAGACTTAGAAAACTTTTATTAACCATCACATATATATTACAATTGGATATCATTTCATTCTTGATCTTATCCGGAGGTAATATAATTAAGCCTAAACTTAATTACTTACATACTAATTCAAATTATGTTATTGTGTTACAAGAAGGTAATAGAAGGATACTGTATTGATTTGATTTACTTTAAAGACCTTCTTGGTACATTTGACGATTAGATGAAATTCAGACAAATGTATTTTTATACAGACCAATCAATAGTTCAATTCACACACTCCTATAATCCATTTGATATTATTACTAGTATTCTGTGTTGGGTCATTCATAGCGTTACTATATGTACATTCCCTATACATTGCGGTTTGGTTATTTGTCAGCATCGGATTGGCTTACGATGTGTTTGGACGACCTCAACCAAATGAGTATTTTACAGAGAGCCAATAATTTTTTTATTAACTAGCTGTTGTGATCCTTTGGAGCAACTTGATGAACTTAGTAGATCATTTTAGGAGCCCTAATGACTATAGATCAAACCTTTCAATTACAATATGATGGTTGGTTGTTCACGGCTAGTTATACCTACTTTCTTTGTTTTTGGATCAATATCAACTATGTAGTTTATCCAACAATAAAATTGATTCCGATATTATTGAGATACGACACAATCAAATCAAATGAACAAAATATTGAATTGAATCGTATCAGTTTCTACTGGGTTAATACTCATCTATATACTTGTGATGTGTTGGTATTTTTACCAACTCACCTCTTCCTTTTTTCCTTATCTTTTCTTGTTGTTATTCATGATAACTTAAGTTATTAATCCCTTGAATTGTGCTTGTTTCGAATATTTTGAGATTTAAGCCTTATTTGTTTCATTATGATTTAGACATTGAATGTAAATTTGAATGATTAAGATATGATGGTAATTGTGATGACAGAAGTGGTTAGTGATGGTGGCTGGTGATTGTGGATCTCTGATAATGAATATTGTCCACATGATTGAATACCTCTTAATAGTATTAAAATTCTATTCTAGATTTTAATGATTAAGACTTATTCTTAACGATATATATATTAAAACATATTTATGAGCAAATATTTCAAAAATCTCCCATTCCTTTTTAAATTTCATGTCTATAAATTTTGATGCATAAATTAAAACATTCAAATAACTCCAACAATGTTTGCTGCCCCTGTATAGTTTGGACCAACGAGTTGTGGTTGAAATCTTTGTGTTATCTTGACCGGCCTCAAAACTTATCCAGATTAAGCCAGGGGACCACAGTCCAGAGCCCAATTGGCATTTGTATCTTCCTTTCATATAAAGTCTTAAATGTTCGTTTGGTAGTTGGTTATAGTTATATACTATTCCTTTTATTTAAAAAAAAATGTCATAGTTTCAGTTTTAGTTTGTTTTAAAAAGAATGACCCCTTTTTTTTTTGCCGACACTTTAATTTCAATTTTCCACGTGACATGTTTAAGATCACAAGATTAAAGAGCATTTTGGTACATTTGACATAACTTTAATTTAAAACCACAAGATTAAAATAATTTCTTTCTTTTCTTAAACTCCGTTCCAAGTCAAACTAGGTCGTTTTTAAAAAAACTAAAGGAGTATGTATAGTATTAGTTATGAGGAAATTTATTTACTATTATTTTATTCAAGGATCAGTTATGTAGGATTTATTTATTCATGTAATTACTTATGTCATCTTCTATCATGTATAAATTAATACATAGAGTCTCTCATAACTTATACATTTATTAATTATACAGAAATCAAACACCGTATTAGTTTTATACATGAATAACCTACTTCCTAACCAGCTATCCCTAAATTGTTTAGAGTATATACACACCAAATGGAGACAAATGTAGTTTTGGTTTGCAAGAGAGGTTATTGCAGATAATAAATTTCTGATCCTCTCTGGAGTTCATTTGAAGCAGCATGCACATAGCTAGCCTCTTGAAAATCCATCTTTAAACAGATATGTTGCTTCTTGCTATGCATCTATTACAAGTTAAATCTCTGAGAAATGATAATTTCATTGAGAATTATTCAAGAATCAGAGTTGAGCAATGTTAAATGGGTTCACGCCCGATATGAAGAAATAGCTTTGATTGATGGGATGGGATGCGATGATAATGAATGTATTTCTTTTGCCATGATCAGTTATATAAAAAATAATGATTCGCGCTTTCAACAAAAGGGTAAGATCCTGAATGTGGTTAATTGGTTCTCAAGTGATCTAGGGTGTATTTAAGCAACCAAACACTGTATTTATCCAATATCTAGTATATATGAAATGAAATGAAATGAAACTCAACTCTGATTCTTGACACTGAAATAAAGGCGAGATTGGCTGAAGAAGGTGGTATGCATGCGGTGCGGGAAATGGACATTGTGTTAGCCCCCACGTTGCACCTGTTGGCGAACTAGATTCTGCGAATGAAATTTCTTTTGATGGATGTGTGCAACACCCTAAAAGAAGAATTATATTAGATCCGCGATGGACCTCTTGCTCTGCAATGGAGTCCGTGTCGCATACCTATTGTTCTGCAAAAATTTATTTGACAAATTGAGATTAGTGGATATGTCCTACTACTACTATAAATATATAGATGACTTTTCTAGGGTCATACATTGTCAGTAAAGAATAATAATTTACTCTTCATTGTTACGAACTACTCCAACTTTATTGCTTTCATAGAGATTAATATGGTACGAATAAGAGTTGTTGTAAGCGCTGCATTAAGTTAGGTTTATTTTCATTGTGATGTTTTCTGCTTACTTTAATTGTGTTGCTTATCACGACTAGCTAAATCTCATAACTAGGATTATGAAACTTTAAGTATGGATAAAGAAAGATAATGGATTCTTCACACGAAGGTGAAGGTGTGATTGTTGTGCATTAAATTTTTTTCATAATGATTGTCTTTTTAATAGTTGCAAAATTAAGAAATCGTAAGTATTCTAACTTTCTTGACAAAAGAAAAGAAAATTTAATTAATAACAGGGATTTGAGACTATCAACCCCCATTTAGTAGCTTGAGCTAGAGATAAAATAACTAACCCAAGACTTATGATGATGCCCAAAGTAAACCAATACCCAACTGACAGAAAGATTATTTAGGGTGCATTCTTCTAATTAGGATGAGAGACTTTAGAAGGTGAATAGATTTGTCCGTTTTGCACAGTGAATTCACCTAAATAAGTCGATAGTGAATCATCTAGTTGAACTCCGATATTTAGGAATCACAGCTCTAGTCTGTCTTTAAATCTTGATACAAAACCATAATATAAGCAAATTAGATTATCCATTTTTATTATAGTATTATTACCAAATCTTTTTGTGTAGTTCTCCTAAATATGTTTCTATTGTATTTATTGGATATGATCCAACACATGAAGATTATAAAGTCTATGATATTGCATCTGACAAATTCTTAGTCAGTAGTGATGTTATATTTAGAGAAGACGTCAACTTAAGTTTTTAAGGCTTAATTTCTCATATCATATAATCTTGTGCTTTCACATCATTCCTCTAAAAAAAATTGAACTTTAGATTCTACACCTACCACCATGTTTCATGCACCATTTTTCATCCTTCTCATTCCTCACATGATCTTATATCTTCATCTCATGTTTTCTCTATGTTTGTTCACTTAGTTCTATTATTTTACATGTTGTTGTTGCCAATCCAAGCCTTAGATCTTGTGTAGACTAGAAAACATGGTAGGAATGTTAAACATTTAGGGGTCGTTTGGTTTGAATACAAGTTATGTTGGGATAAGTTATGCTGGAATTAGTTATATTGGGATTAGTTATCATGACATTGTTTTTTATTGATTGTTTGGTTTGTTATATAAAAAATAATAAACCATTGCATACTTCCTAAAATAAGTGGTTTGATTACAAAAATAACCTCTTATATAGCTTTCTGTATATATTTTTTTTGGGTAGAGTTTTAGTTATTCATTCTTAAAAACAAACTTCTACCTTATTTAACTGAACAATTTTATGTATGAATTCCTATGAATTTTCTTTGTGTTTAATTATGTGTCAATTTTGAAGTGTCAATACTCCACGCTAAAGAAAACATATGATGTGATCAGAAAATTCTTTTACTTATCACATTTACTATAAAAATATGTATAAAAAATGAAGCAACTTAGAGCTCAAAATTTAGTAGCCAATAATAAAAAATGTAGCAGAGTTTGGCGTTAAAAAATGACAACCAGTACAACAATAGTTTGCATCTGTACACAACAGTAAATTGACTTAAAATGCAGCTACAAATTTACTTAAAACACATGCACGAAAAGCGCAGAAGTTGATCAACCTCGAATTTTCTCCAACACAACAATTATTTGACTTCGAATGCAACCTATAAGACCCCAACATGTACTTGCTCTTAAATCTGCCGAAGTTATCATAGATAATTGATGATGTTAGGTGTAAACTGCACATCCATGGAAATTCCTTCTGTTAATTAGGCTTTAATTAGTGGACATTGCACTAGAATCAGCAGTTTGACATTGCAAAACGTGAATCTTGATCAGCTGCCAGTAAGTGGGAGTTTGAAGGGTAGTTTTGTCATTTAACAAATTTATCCCATGACAAATTATGATGGGATTATTATACCACCCCTTGGGAGGGATAACTTATCTCGGTACTATTTATTAATCCCGGGATAAGTTATCCCAAACTTTCCAACCAAACACAAAATTAAGAGTCGCTAAATATTTATCCCAGGGCTATATGTGTTTATACTTCACACCAAACGACCCCTTAATTTGGTTAAAAAACTATGTTAATACTCCCTTACTTTTCGTGCATATTCATATCTTTATCCTATACATCAATACATTTGTATGATCACTTTCATGTTAACTTTCAGAGTCTGGTTTTCAGTAGAGAAAATATGATTAATCACTATTTACTAAGATCACTAATGATAAATTGGTGCTCATAGTCTCTCTTTTTTCTTTTTTTTAATGTAGATGACTTACTTTTTATTGTTAATGATTTAGAAGAATTTCAGAGGGCAATGTGTGCTTTACATCACAATTTCAAATCAAATCTTGGAGAATTGTACTTTCTAGCCATTCTGATGTCATAAAGAAAGTATGCTTTGAAAATGATTTTAGAAATAGGACTGTGAGGATGAAGGTGTTACACGGTCCCCTGTTATGAATCTAGTTATGGGACGCTGCAAGGTAAAATATGTTGGTTTCTTCCTACGACATATGGTGCTGGTTCGTTAAGAGAGAACCTGAAATCTCTTGAGTTAAAGTACTCAAAAACTCGAATTATTTTCTGGTTAGATTTCATGACGACATTAACAGAGAGTTTAAATACAAAATTTATAAGATAGCTAGAAGCATTTTGTGATATAGACAAGGTGATGATTCATGTACGTATTTGTATGTTATCTTAGTTGCAGGAATCAATAAAGATTCGAGGATCGAGATAATGAACTAATGAAGACAACTCAAGAACAGAAGAATAAGCAAAGAGAGATTTAGGAAAAGAATGTAATGGCTTGTATATCGATATGTAATCCTTACAATAGGAATGCTATATAGCTTATAACACTTGGATATCCATTGAAATGGAAATTCTTTGAGCCATAGAAATCCACGTTCATTTCGATAGAGATAGATCAAAACAAGGAAGCATCAAAATGATAAACAATGAGAAACTTTAAACAACAAAACGTCTTGAGATAAGATCTGTACAAGATAAAACAGGCTGGATTCTATGTAGTAATCACCAAGTTATTCAACGGACGAAGGAGACATATATTCTACTTATGTGGCCAAGCACAACAGAAATCTTATGGTCATTACACATTATACAAACAAGAACTCGTTATGTGGTCCTAAAACAGGTTCTTAAAAGGACTCGTGAGAGAATCACTAACACCTTGAAACAAACCGTAGAGGGAGTATTGTCTGAGGTTTTTAACCTCGTACCACGAGTTCAGCACATTTTCATTCTTATCTGTTCCTGAAAAGGCCAATTGTATGCTCACGTTGCAGTCAATGGATCCGCCATTTCCATTGCACTTATTATTGGGGACTGCACAATCAGTTTTATTGAGGCAAACAAAAGAATCTCCTTTGCACGAATCGCACCCAAATTTCTTCCAAAACAAGTTCTGGAGGGTGCCCTTTTGAAATTCAAGTACCTAAGTCAAGTCAGAGGACAAAGTTCAATGATGCAAAATAAGCTAATTCTTTAATGTTTGTCGACAGAATTGGGATTTTCATGCTGCATAAAACTTACCAGAGTGAAGCTTGTAACGGTGTGAGTACTGTCTGCCACAAAAGCAGGCAATGATCGAGCAGCATACTTGCGTCCAGCAAAGGCAACCATATAACCACCAGATTTGCTCTGAGAAGTTTCAACAAATCATTGAATACGATGCACACCAAACACTAACTATTTCCAATGTTATCAAAGGTGAAAAGTGCAAAAAAGCTCTAAGGTCCATTGGGGCTTTAAGCGCAAATAAAGCGTGGACTTTAATGAAAAAAGGGAAAATACAAATACATATGTTTAGTCCAAGACTAGTAATTATAAACATGAATGACAAATATATGAACAAGGAAATTGAAAATAAATTATGATAAAGTGATATATCAATTGTTTTAGTGTCACCTCTTCAATTAAGGGTCATTGACAAGGAAAAGTATGCCTTAGAACCTTGATACATAAAGCGAGGCGAAGTGCCTTAGGTCCAACTGTATGCACCTATTTGTATATACTCCGACTTCCCAATGGGAAGTACGGATGCTGATTATTTTTCCATAAGAAGATCGAGAACATAAAAAGGAGAAGTTCAAAGATTGATAATCTGTACTGTACAGTTTAAGTGAAAGTTGACACTGGCCACTATTTTTAAGAAATTATTATACACTTAACAATTTAGGGGAAGAATTCATGAATGCCATGATTGATGTCTAAACATCTAGTTCGTTCAATTTTTCGATGGAAAAAAAAACGTTGGACAAGACAAAGGTTGGTAGTTAGCAGGAGAAAACAAAAGCATGAGATACTTTTCTTTGTTGTAACCTACAAATTCTACCAAACATGTTTGTTAGACAGTTAGGTGAAAGGTGACAAATTCCCATAATACTAAATTGTTGTTTCTTCCTAGACAGTCAAGCAAAATGCATCCAAATGATTAAACATTTTAGTCTGCAGAACAGGCAAACTATCAAAAGAGAAAAATTCTGTTTGTTTTCGATGTAAAAATATAAAGACCATGTAACAAACTATGCAAACGGTACGTATTCAAATTTCTTAATAGATCAATAATCTACTTCCAAAAACATTTGGTGTTCCTCACATAGTAGGCGAGATTTTTACATAGCTCATGATATACATGCTTAATAAAAGACCTATTGATATTAGCAGAGCCAGGATTTTCAATAAAGGGGTTCAAATTCTGAAGAAATAGACACACGAAGTAGTCGAAGGGGGTTCGACATCTACTACATATACCTAAAACATTATTTTAACCATGTATAAATGATATAATTTTCCGCCGAAGGGATACCCCTGACTGCAGTGATATAAGCTGTTTGACATTATGCTAATAAGTCATAACAGTTATTAGCAAATACACTACACAGTGACAAACACAGTATCATCAAATAATTACATCTATATGCCAAGATTCTTAGCTAATTACGATTTCTGTTAATTCCCTTCTCTCATCTAATTTACATTTGAAAGGTATAAACACATTCGCAAGCACGACAGATAAAAACAAGAAATGCAGAACAAAAGTATAGGAAGACAAGAAAAGAATTTGGGATATAAGAGTACATACAGGATTGAAGTTGCTGATATTGATTGTAAGGAGTGAAATCTCATCGACTTTAGGCCTAAAAACAGCGAGTTCAGCAGAATTTCCAGTAAGGGAGAGGCGACGATCACATGGAGAGAGCTGTGATTCATTGAAGAAAAATGATTCCTTTGATGAAAACACAAGCCCAAATGTGAAACCATCCCATCTCTGAACTCTTGTGTCCGAACAAGGATCAAAAACAGAATTCGTATCTCCAGCATACACATTGTCCATCATAATCATCATCGACATCGACATCAAAATTAGCACCACCAACATGGTTCCCATCCTCACCAAATATTATGATCCCCTTTTCCAAGTAAATGTTCCAAAGGTTAAAACTTTGAAATATTTCCAAGTTGTGGTGAGTAATTAGCTAACCAAGATTAATCTATAACAAAGAAACACAACAAAATGAAAATCATATAACAACAGGGGTAGAAAATCATATAATAACATCAAATATTCAAATTTAGGTACCATCAAATCATTAACCACTTATGTTTTAGTCATTCAATTAATCAATTATGCCTCAATATCCATTCAATTTCTAGCATATTCATCATGTTGTTTACATACACCAACCCTTCCTGGATATCACAATTTTTTTATTTAAAAAAAAAATAGAGATACAAAACAAGAAGTAAATAAATTTATGTTGATTCTAATTAGGGTCAAAGCAAGGAATAAATAAGAATCAAAGTGACACAAAATTAAGATTACCCTTTTAAAAAAAAATCGGATGTTATGTTCTTCAATCCCTTAGAAATATTTCTTCAAATTGATCATCTTGTTTGTGAATTGTGATGACCGTTTCTCTACGTAAAGGGGTCACAATAAGCTAAAAAATTAATTTAATTTTTAAATTTAATTAATAAGGAAAGGTTTAAGAAATTGGTTATTGAAAATATTTGATTTGATTTGACAATTTGTGCGTGTGATGGGTTTTTTGGGATTGCTGCTTTGCCGCACGAGAAAGCCGGCATGGGAGGTGGAGGGGGAAACTATGGGCCAAGTGGAATTGGATATTTTTTTGTCCTAGAAACGGTTAGGGAAGTTGGCGTTTCAAACACGATATTGAGTGATTTTATGTTTTTGTTTGACTAAAGTATTCAATGTCATGTTGACTATTGAAATGTGGGTCCTTTATTAGAACAAAAATAAGCACTTTTCTATAGGTACAAAAAGGAGACAGTGAAGAGAATATATCAAGTAACAAGGAAACAATTTAGAGAGTACCAAAAAGGAGCCAAAAATAACAATAAAATAATGTGATAATTAAAATACAATAGACAACATACTAGGATATATTATTGAAAATAATAATAAACAATGATAAAAAAAAAAAAAGATCTGTAGTAATCCAACTAGTACAATGACAAACACTAGCCACCCTAAGCAAGACAACACGACCTCACGTACTAGCTTTCTATCCTAATATGTATCCTCCACACCCTTCTATCTAAGGTCATGTGCCCGGTAACCCGAAGTTGCATCATATCTAGTCTTATCACATCTCCCCAATACTTATTTGGTCTACCTTTGCCTCTGCTCGTACCCTCTATAATCAACTCCTCACTAGTGCATCTACACATCTCATCTTCACACATATCCAAATCATCTTAATTTCGCTTCCCTCATCTTGTCCACCATATAGACCACACTCTCACCTTATCCCGGAAAATCCTCATTTCTAATATTATTACTCCTAGTATGACCACACATCCACTTTAACATCCTCATCTTCGCAACACACATCTTCTGGATATAAGTGTTTTTGACTTGCCAACAGTCTGTCCATACAACAATATCAGTCTAACCCCCACTCTTATAGAACTTATCTTTGAGTTTTGGAGGTGCATTTTGATCACATAAGACTCCAAAGTCAATCATCTACCTCTTCTATGCCACACCAATACAATGTGTGATATCATTATCGATGTCACCACTCCTCTGAATTATAGACTCAAGATACTTAAATCTTTCTCTCTTAGGAATCTTTTGTGTGTCATGCCACTTCCACGCCTATACTCTATCTTGGTCCGGCTCAACTTAAATCCTATAATTTTCAAAGTTTGTCTCCATACTTCTAACTTAGCATTAACTCTATCACGTGTCTCATCAATTAGTACTATGTCATCCACAAATAACATATATTAGGACACCTCATCGAATGTCTCACGTCAATTCATCCATCACCAAGATAAATAGAAACAGAGTAAAAGTTTGATCTCTAATGTAACTTCATCTCCACAAGGAAGTGCTCTGAATCTCCTCCCATCGTTTTAACCCATATTTTATCTCCTTCGTACAAGTTTTTATTGCCTAAATGCATGCCATTGATACACCTCTTCCCTCTAGGCATTGCCACAAGGCTTCCCTCGAAACTTTGTCATAGGCCTTCTCAAGGTCAATGAACACCATATGTAAATCCATCTTTCTTTTTCGATATCTCTCCATCAGTCTCCTCACCAGATGGATGGCTTCTGTGGTCGATCGCCCTGGTATGAATTCAAATTAATTCTAAAAAATAGGCACTCTTCTCCTCACCCTCATCCCTACCACTCTTTTCCATACTTTCAACCACTTTTTTCCATACTTTCATATTGTGGCTTAAAACTTAATACTCATGTAATTGTTGCAATTTTTGATATTACCCTTGTTTTTGTTCAACAGAACCATCGTACTCCACCTTCATTCCTTTGAAATATTAGTCGTCCTAAAAATGGCATTGAACAAGCTAGTCAACCACTCCAAACCTGCTATATTCGTGCTCTTCCGAAATTCCAGTAGAATCTCATAAGGTCATGTCGCTTTTCCCTTGCTTGTCTTACTAATAGAATGATTCACCTCCTCCACCTTAATATGCTTACGATACCCAAAATCTTAATGTCTCTCAAAGTGCTCCAACTCCCTTAGCATAATGTCTTTGTCCCTTTCTTGGTTTGTTACAAAATGTACATAGTCATATCTACTCATAATATTCATAGCATAATCATAGGTAGATATCTTTAGGGATCTTAGAGATATTTAGGAATATTTTTTGATTTTATTTCCTTAGATAGATTTACTTGTACACCTACAAATAGCTCTTATTCTTGGAATAATAGGACAAGGAAATTGATTCATTGGCTCTATACTTTACATGGTATCAGAGCGGGTTATCTTGCTTTGTTAGAGTTAGATCAGAACTCCTCCGATATACAAAACACCAGAATCTGGTGGTCAGAGGCGAAGAGCGTGAGACTCACGCGCCGGGAAAGTTGCTGCAGACATTGCAGATCTTGAAGCACGTGAAGGTGCATACGTGGATCTATCTTGATCCGGTTTTCTGTTACGACTTTGGCTTGACATTTCTGGACGATTTGTGGTGGTCCTCTAATCATCGGACCATATTTTGGAGAAGAGAATCCTTGAAATAGAATCTGTGCACTCTCATTGGTCAGGTTTGACACCTCTCTGTTTATTGGTGTTTAGTCGTTCATTCTAGTATATGATTGGAGACTGTTTGCAAAGTGCAACAGTGAGTTGAATGATTGCTCAACAATTTGTGAACTTGATATTGTCTTGGAGGCTATCTGCTGCTCATTTGGAAAATTGTTTTGAAGTGCAATTTCAAGTTTAGTTGTCAACCTTATGATTCTGTCTGCCTGTTAGCTATTGTTTGTCTTTCCTTTTTGGGTATAGTGTGACTTTCAGATATAGCCTACTTGGAATGTTCTATTAGTTTCAACATCAATTTGTTCAGATACAGTGAGCATTTTAGTTGGAAAAAAAAAGACTGATCAAGGTGAGGTTGTTGCTACTTCTAGTCCATTTTCTGAAAAAATGGTTTTGATTTCGGTTAAGGAGTTTGCTAAATTTCTCTCGATATAAGAAATTATTGAAGGAATCCACTTCATTTAATACTTTTCCAAAGTCAGATAAAACATGTCTTATCACCTCTTCAAATAAAAAATATGTGATTGATTCAGGTGCCACCAATCATATGACAGGTAATCCTAATATTTTTTCTAGTTTTCAACCACACAAAGTACCGTCTCTAGTTACAGTAGTTGATGGATCAACTTGTAACATTGTTGGATCTGGAACTATTAAACCTATCTCCTCTATTACTTTGTCATCTGTATTAAGTCTACCAAAATTGGCCTTTAATCTGATTTCTGTTAGTAAAATTACTAGAGACCTTCATTGTTATATCACTTTCTTTCCCGATCATTATTTGTTTCATGATCTTACTACAAATCAGGTTATTGGTAAAGGACATGTATCTGATGATCTATATATCCTTGATGAATGGGAATCTCGATTTGTTGCCTGCTCAAGTGTCATATCTCTATTTGAAGCACATTGTCGATTAAGACATCCTTCTCTACCTTTGTTGAAAAAGCTTTGTCCTCAGTTTCAGCATATATCCTCATTGGAATGTGAGTCATGTAAATTTGCAAAACACCATTGCATCTCACTAGGTCCAAGGGTTAATAATCGAGTTGAGTCTGCTTTTGAGTTAGTACATTTATATGTTTAGGGACCATGTCCTGTTGTTTCTAAAACTGGGGGATAAATATTTTGTTACTTTTGTGGATGATTTTTCTCGAATGACTTGGATTTACTTTATGGCGAGTCGATCTGAAGTGTTTACTCACTTTACTGCCTTCTGTGCTGAAGTCAAAACTCAATTTAGTGCCTCAGTTAAGATTCTAAGGAGTGATAATGCTAAAGAATATATGTCAGAATTATGTCGGTCCTATATGAGAAAACATAGTATTCTTCATCAGTCTTCATGTGTTGATACACCTTCTCAAAATGGAATTGCTGAGAGGAAGAATATGCATCTACTTGAGATAGCTTGGGCACTTTTATTCCAATTGAAAGTCCCCAAACAATTTTGGGCTGATGCAGTCGCTACAACTTGTTTTATGATCAATCGTATGCCGTCGACTGTGTTGGCAGGTACTATGCCTTATAGTGTTCTTTTTCCAAACAAATCACTATTTCCGGTGGAACCTAAGGTGTTTGGAAGCACATGTTATGTTCGAGATGTTCGACCATCTGTTACTAAATTGGATCCAAAGGCGTTAAAATGTGTTTTCTTGGGTTATTCTTGACTTCAGAAAAGGGTATCGTTGTTATTCTGTTGAGCTTGGCAAATACCTAGTGTCAACTGATGTGGTATTTTCAGAGGCTACACCATTCTTCTATGCACCTCCCATTTCTACAAGTGAGGTGGAGGAAGATGAGTGGTTGATCTATCAGGTTACTCGTGCTGTAACAAGACAATCAGATGATGTTGTTCTTCCATCTTCTAGTTCATTCATTGAGAATCAAACAACTATTATACCTCTTGAACCTGCTTCATCCGTTCCAACAAGATTTCCAATTGTTCAAGTTTACTCAAGAAGTAGAGGTAATGATGATACTTATCCTACATCAACTCCTTCATCATTAGTTCCTTCTCCACTTGATTCTTCAGAAAATCTTGACCTTCCTACTGCTCTTTGAATAGGTACATGTCAGTGTAAATCCACATATTCCATTGCTAACATTGTTTCTTATGACCACTTATCTCCTGCCTCTAGCTGTTTGATTCACTCTCTAGACTCTATCTTTATTCCTAAAACAGTGAAAAAAGCCTTGACTAATCTTGGAAGGCGTGATACAATGGTTGAAGAGATACATGCTCTAGATGAAAATCATACTTGGGATTTGGTGGATTTACCTAAAGGGAAGAAAGCAGTAGGATGCAAATGGGTTTTTACGGTCAAAGTCAATCCTGATGGTTCTATTGCAAGACTTAAGGCTAGACTTGTGGCTAAACGCTATTCTCAAACTTATGGGGTAGATTATTCAGACACTTTCTCCCCCGTAGCTAAGCTCACCTCTGTTCGTTTGTTTATTTCCTTGGCTGCTTCTCAACATTGGCATTTGCATCAACTGGATATCAAGAATGCTTTCCTTCATGGTGATCTCCATGAAAAGGTGTATATGGAGCAATCACATGGGTTTGATGCTCGGAGGGGGGGG